AGTTTTGTTTTAAATAAGATTCTGTTATTTATTTAGTTTTGTTAATCCTCACCCAAGGATATTTCTCTCATTGATTTTTAAAGATAGTAGAGGGGAGGGGGAGAGACAGAGTTGATAGAGACACATTGATTAGCTGCCTATACACACACCCTGACCAGGACCAGGGTGTGTGTATAGGCAGCTTGCAAATGAAGTATATGTCCTTGACTAGAATCAAACCCAGGACTCTTCAGTCCCAAGGCCTTCTCTATCCACTGACCCAAACTGGCTAGGGCAGAAATGCTTTGATAAGGAAGTTGAAGTCGATTAGAACCTTGAACTTCCCACACTAGCTAGATACATGTGATCAGCCCAGGAATGCTGACCCAATTCATACCCACCCTTCCTCCTAAACACAAATATCCCTCTTTTTGAGTATTTTGAACCGAAAACTGAGAAAGCTCATGTGCCCTTGTGGGAGAGGCTACTTTTAAAAACATACGACGAAGCAGAATACATTAAAAAGGCAAAACATCAATTAAAAAAATGCACCACAGACACTGCATCACTAAGAAAGCCAGTAACTTTACTGAATTGTCTGCAAAATACAAATTATACCTTATTTCCAGCAGGAGAAACTTTGGAAAATTCCCCACTTTTCCACTACAGACAGCTGAATGAAGTCCCTTGAGATACAGAGATGGGGTTTAACTTAGTTATAACATCTTGTCATCTAGTGGCGACAAAGTCCAGCTTATGCCGCTGTGAACCTCTACTTGAGTATCTGTTGCAAAATGCTTGTATACCCTCATTTACAAGCGATTCGAATGACTGTTTAATGGAAACAAGTCCCCAGGAAAAGAAGGAAAGGAATACAGCAAACCATCGGAAGCAATCCAAGTCCCACCCTGCGGCGCCCCCAGCCCACAATGCTCTGAGAGAACACAGGTGCTGAATTCAAACCACAACAGAATCCCACGCTTAGCTGACCTCTCTACATTACACTGAGGTATGAATCAATTTGAGGTACGGACAGGGAAGGCAAATGCAATACCGGATTGTGAAAAATAACCCAAATGGACAAATTGAATGGAGAAGATATGTGGCTTGGATTGCTCCACATCTTTGGTTAAAACATATTTAAGAAAAGCCTTTACGTTACATCTGCAGTCTGAAGCATTCTAACAGACACCAGTATCCCATCAATCTTTCAAAAGATCTGCAGTGGCAAGAAATTCACGCTGTATAAGTGACGCCACACAGCAGATGGCACCCACGGGAACAGATGAAGTATGCCACACTTAAGCAAGAGCCTTTATTGAGGGTTCAAATGGCTATTGCTTCTTGAAAAAAAAAAATTTTTTTTTTTCTAAAAGAAAGAAACACAAGCATTACTCTCTGGAAAAACAAACAGAAGAATAAAGGGAGCAAAAAAAAAAAAAAAGAAGCTATTTCTAAGTTAAAAGATGGGGGTGTAAGAAAAACAAATACATAATGTTGTGAGAGGGCAGCTATTTTCTTTAAAAAAAAAAATGTATTTGAATTGTTTGAAAGTCCTCACCTTAGTTAACCTGAAAGTGAGCTGAAGATGACAGGCATTTTCATATTCATCATTACAAAATACTAAGTTCCACCTTAGGGAAAAAAATAAGCCATTTTACTAAAAAAACACAATTTTTAAAAAAGGTCAAAATGCCTTCACGCACCAATGCATACAATATACAGGTTGTGCAGCTTGCATATATGGCATCAGTGTTACCAGTATGTAAGCTTCATGTTACCCAACAATCTTTCAAACCAGGGTTAGGCATTACATGCTTGGAGCTGTGTGAGATGCCACTTGTGGTTCTTGGATTTGCAATGAAGAATGTAGCCTAAATGTCCTCTATGATGACTACAGGAACATCATTCCCTCAGGGCTCTGCCCTACACTTCTGAATACAAAGGGTTTACTGTGATAAAAAATCCAAACCATACTAGCTTTGCAAATACAATCAAAGGTAAATTACAGATAAGGTATAAGGGTAAAGAGAGACAGTGATCCTTTACAGAGAGTGACTCATCACAATCAACATTGTGCTTCTTCTCATTAAATCATCTTTAAAAAATCCTCAGATTATCCCTTTGGGAGCTTGCCACCACTTTCTGCGAATTCAACAGTGGGGACAAGCGATGACTGGCATCCATTTTCAAGTGATTCTGTTCTTTTCATGTTCTTATAAAACTATCGCCAGAATTGCTACAAATAGCCAAGGCTTTTGCTGGCACTTTAACTTACTTTATTTTCAGCATTAGAAATGCACTGTTTCTTTGTTGCTGAGGCAAAGTGCAGGTAAAAAGTTAATATGGCTATTTTTTCATATTTTCACATAATGACCCTTTCCCACCCACGGATACATTTTTTTTTTTACTGATATTGATCAAGTGTTTTGAAATGATAAAGAACATTTGTGATATGTTTGCATATTTTATACACATCAAGTCATAAAGATGTGTTTGTAAGGATGGGATCAAATCTATGGTGAGAAAAATGACTTCTTAGTTTTCTTATCCCTATGTGTGAATGCGTGTATGTCTATTTTCAGCAATGGTTTTCTGTTTTTCCTTAGCATAAATGTTTTTTTCTTTCATGTTCCATGGATACCTTGAGTAGTGGGATATATGAAATGATTAATAGTTATTTTTGCTTGTTTTTAGTATATAAAACATTAGTACAAGGCAGGTTAGCATCCTATATGGATACCACCAAAGGTGCATTGTGGTCTAATTGTAGATTTCAGATTAAGTTAAGAAAAATATAGCCTTGTTAGTAAGGTCTCTTGGCTTTTGCCACCCAGCGGCAGCCTTTTTCAATGAGAAACACATAGCAACTTTACAAGTAAAAGAGAAAAAAAAATGGGTAAGAAATGTCCTACACACGATGTAGCAGTGTCGATCTTATTGTCTGCAACTTCTTTGCTGTGTATGTCCCTGGGGATTATTGGAGATGGATCGACAGATCTCCACATTCCAAGAGAAGAAAAATCATTCCTAGACTGAAATCTTTTTTAAACAATAGATATCAACATTATTTTTTTTAATGGCACTCACTTTTTAAAGGGTCTGAAAATGAAGCCCTTATAGACAAATATTAGACAAGAGTCATTATTTCTTGAAAATTAAAAAAAAAGGGACATAGAGAGGTTCTTTAATGGGATTTCTTGACATGGCTATTAAATATCTTTATTGAAGAAAAAAAAATAGATGACATACATGCTTTATGCAGAAGTTGACATTTGGGGGGTCCTGACACACTGGGATTGTTCAACAGTCCTACATTGCAGACAAGATTGTTAAGGGTCAGTTAAGATAATTAAAAACGGATGGTGAAGCAACTATCTCTTTATCTGTTTCCTTCTTGTCTAGCACCCAATCTTTCACATTTTTCTTCTGTGGGAATTTATAACTTATACATCGAGCAAACTTCATATCACCTGTTTCTAGGGCCTTATTTGCAGGACACGGGCCCCAGCACAGCTTCTCTATTCTGGGCATATTTCTAAAAGCGTAACAAATTCTGGCCTGAAAACCAACCAGATAATTTAGGATATGGGCAAGTTAGGGTGTGCACTTACTGAATTCCAAGATGCATGGTGAAATGGTGAGATCAGAAAGGGGCCCTGCGTTTGATGAAAATTCAAAAATAAAAAGCATAAAATAAGCTAATTAGTATATACAATGGATGTCAGTCGACCCAATAGATTTGCTAATTGTATTAAAGACAATTTAGGGTGTTGCCATGTGATATGTTCTAATCCCACAGGTTATCCTTTTGACAGCTGACCTTGAACTTATAAAATGTATGCAGAGTAAAAGAAAACAGAAAGAAAATAGTTACTCAAATGTGCAACCGCACAAATATCCCCCCTCCCACTGTTAAGATAACAAAACTTCTGCTATTACCATAATATTATATATATTAGAAAGCTATACACAAGCATGTTAATTTCACAGATTTTTTAAAAGATTCTTAATATTTTATATAATTAGAAATACACATTTCAAAAACAAAACTTCTACAAAGAGAAAACAGTTATCTTGGTTAGCAAAGCATGGAGTTCCTCATGGCTTAGGGTAGTGCTTTCTATACAAAAAGTCCTTTTTGTTTTTTTTTTAACAGGACTGTTTAAAATATCAGCGAAGCTATCAAGGGGGGAAAAAAACACATTTTGGCTTAAGTAAACTACAAAAAGCCACAAATGCTTTGCAAACTCTGTCTTACCTTTTATATGAAAATAAGCAAAATGTAATGTACATATTTTTTATACTTTTATTTAATAAGAGATGCAGACCCAGATTCCTTTATTTTACTTAAATACGTTAGCCCTCAAACTCCACTTTTTTTTTTTTTTTTTTTTAAATAGGTATGGTCCTCTTTGAATGGTCATCGATCCTTTTGATTGAGTGCCATACGCCAATGATATGCCTGCAGGTTTGTGAGCGTCCTCAGGGTGGTAGGCGACCTGGCGTGTTCCTAACGCTTACCAATAGCCACCCTTTGCCGGGTCTGTCCACAACATCTATACATTTTTTTTTCTCTATATGTTGCATAACAGCTGCTCTCTCTTTCAGTAAAGATCTGCCGCTTTTGGCAAATGTTTCCTTTTTTTTTTGTCTATTTACATGTAAATAACGTTGAACCTGCAACATGACACTATCTATGGTAACATACATTTTGCAAAGGAGCACAACAGTGAAAAGAAGTTAGCCTTAAAATCTACTTTGTACAAGTGTTCTGTTGTACAACTCAAGTGCTAAGCTTATCTCAGCAATTTCTGTTTATCTTTATAACTGTGTCACTGAGGCAATTTAAAAGTACTTTTACAAAACAGAGTACCTGACTTTTTTTTTGTTTGTTTTTTGTTCCACACACAGCACATATAATGCATATCGACCCCCCTTTCCCCATTAAGGTATAGCACACACACACACTGCAAGAAAAAAAAAAACAAAAAAACACAAACTAGTAAGTAATAATCTGATCATGTTGCCCATCCTTCAGAGAGTCGCATGCGCTTGACGGAGGGGCTTTCCCTTTCGTCCGGCGAAGGTCTGGTGAGTCCAATGGGGGAGTGGAATTCGTTCCGGTGATCCTCTCGGTCGCTCCCGTCGTAGGAACTGCTACAGCTGCTCAAGCTGTCAACAGGAGACCTCCCCGCCTCGTGGCGCGTGTGTGGTGGGTATCTCGAAGGGGTGGTGGTACGGTCTCTAGGAGGAGAAACAGGTTCTGACTTGATGTTGAGGCTTTGAGTAGAAGGCAGGGAGAGATTTGAACTCTGAGATAAATGAGTGCTAGTGCAAGCTCTGTAGGAGGAAAGGAAACCCAGTTACAGATGGAGGAGGCCTGGAGCCCCCAGGAACTCACAAGTACATCAAACATCAGCTTAAGACTCTCGCATTAGACACCAGAGCATGCCCGGAGCGGGAGGCGGTGCTCAGAGGCACGGGAGGGGGCAGCTCCTTCTCCGTTTGCCCCCCGGGGGGGAGGGGATGACAGGGTGTAGCTGGCCCTGGCTCACGGAGGACACCGCTGGTCTGACAAGCTCCCTAACCCTGTCCCTGCAGGGCCGAAAAGGGGTCACCAGACACGCTGGAACGAGCATTCTCCATGTGGTGGGATTTTCCCCCAGACTAGCTCCCAAATGGAATCTAAGGTTTTAAGACACGTGGTTTAGCTTTGGAGTTATACGTCCTTGATCTACTAATGCCAGTGTTTGAAAATTAGTGTAAAGAGCTTATTTTTGGATATGAATGGTTCCCTCAATTTAGTAAGCACTTACACAGTAAGCTGCAGAGGCGTCAGAGAAAGGGGAAAGAGTTCGGATTTCAGGGGAGTAGCATCCATAAGAGGCTACCCACGACCATGTCTAGGGAATAGCCTGGAAAGGTGAAAGGATGGAGGGAGGAGGCTGACAATTATCTGCAGAAATTTTAAAAACACTTAGATTTCCTACTTCACTAAAACGGGTATAATTTTACTTTCTTCACATATTCTCAGCTACACGGGATAAAAATGCTGTTTGTTTTGCACAATGACCTCAGCTTTCCTAATGTTAGTCTCACCCTGCTAGGGAACCTAGGGTACCGCTCCTCTCATTTGTAATTGCCATTAATTGGTGAATCCGGATTTGCCTAAGAAAAGGTTATTGTCAGGAAGGATCTAGTGTAATTTTATTGTGTTTATACAACCCCTAGCCTTTATTTGTTCCAGGAGAGTATTACTTGCCCTTCTGACAAAATGTGGGGGAACTTAGGGACTTGAAACTCTGGAGGGAGAAGCAGGAAGCTCTAAGTGTAGATTGGCAACCACAGTGACTTTTATCAGGATAAACCGCAGTACTACTGCTGATGTCCATGCTACGAGGCTTGCACTGTTCTCACGTTCTGATTGCCCTGACATCCACGGCTAGAATCAGTATTACTAGCCCACAGTGTCAAGAGAATACGGAAACCTCTTTTACTGAGGAAGAGTTACAGCAAAGAATAATCCATATGGACATACCCATTTGAAACAAAAGAAAGCAAAACTGCCAACTCATATATGTGATTATCATACTTTTTAAATGGAGAAACTGGTGGTGTTAAAAATGTAATTATGAGCAGTGAGGGAATATATATATATATATATATATATATATATATATATATATAATCAGAGGAAAAAGTGGAATAACTGGGGCTGGCTTTTGGAAAGATGCAATCAAAGCTCAAGATGTATAGAGATACAAAATTAGTCAGAGATGAGTTTATCTTTGAGTGATGTTTTATACAAAAGCACCACCTACTGGCAAAGAATTACTTTCCTTCCCTTATTAATAGATGAGCTAATGTTGAGAATAACATAAAGGAGAATTATTTGTTTCCCTAATAAGCCCTTCCTTCTCTGGCTTTTATGATCTTTTTATTAAAACTTTTTATTTATTGATTTTAGAGAGAGGGAGAGGGGGAGGAAAGGGGAGATAGATAGATATAGACAGAGAGAGAGAGAGAGAGAGAGAGAGAGAGAGAGAGAGAGAGAGATATGTTGCTGTTGTTCCATTTATTTATGCATTCATTGGTTGATTCTTGTATGTGTCCTGACCAGGAATCAAACCTGAAGCTGGTCAGGGCCTTTTACAATCTTATAGAATCAAAGCAGTTTTAGCATTTATATCAAGAATATGTAATTTTTGATCACTCATTTATTTTAGTCTCTATACTAATTTTCTAAGAGTTTTAATTAAGTAATGTTTTAGTCAATAAGATATTAAAATGGAGGTGGAGCTGTGTTTCAAAAGGATCCATAATGGTGGGCTATCTTATCTTGGTTCAATGTCACTTAATCCTTCATTTTGATGTCAGAGGAAATCATCGTTTGATTTCTGGAAGAAAGAATTTTCCTGGCTCTAGATAAAAAATATAATTTCACTAAAATTTAATGAAATGCCTCGTACAATGACTCACACAGCTGTTTAATAATGAATGCGAATTAGGAGTCTGAAAATATGTGGCATATCCATAAATACTTTGTCTGCCTTTTGACATTTAAATTGTGTCTTCACAGGCTGGGAGCATGGAAAATTCGAAAAATAATATCTGATGATTTGGACTAGTAAAGCAGTTAATATGAATAAGTTAAGCAAAAAGTGATATAAACAAAATGTTGTTTCTTTAACACAACTTTTGAAAGCTGCATTATCTCCCAGTGTCAACTACCTTGTACAAATTTTGCTGTATTTCTTCCCCCCAAAAGACAAAACACTTACTGCTTATCCCTTCCTATAAACAAACAGGCCTAAGTTCCTTTTTTGGTGGCATTTCATTTTACACTGAAAGCATGTATGAAGCATTTTGAGTAGGTTCAGGGGCACTAAATACACAGTCATAACATGGCAGTGATATCTGAGAATCAGCTTCCTTGCACTGTGATAGAGGATTCAAAACAGAATGAAATGTAATTGACTGGTGCTTTCTTGGAAAGGAAAAGGAACCTTAAAGATCACTTAGCTGTATGGGGGGGAAGGGTTCAGATGTTGGTTTACTTGTCCTTGAGAACAAAACTTTTGTGGACTCAGACAGATAGATCCTTTGAACTACCCCATATGTGTGGGTGAGAACAAGGTGGGTGAGAACGAGGTGGTGAGAAAGAGGTGAGTGAGAATGAGGTGGCTGGGGAAGACAGAAGCCCTACTGCCCATACATATCTTGTCCTGCTGCTAGGTTTCATCCTCTACAAATGCCTTCCAACTGGGAAGACGCTTACCCTTCCCCATCATTGTTCAGAAATGAAAGATGATTGGATGGTTTTATTCAAATTTCTTACTGCGTTCTCCTGGAAATTAGGCCAGCAGACTATATTTTATTGACCTTTTTAAAATTCGTCTTTATTCAAAGTTATCTCTTCTCAATATGTCTTGCACACCCACCTCCACAAAGATGATGTATAAAAATGCTTCCAGAAAACAGGCTGCCCTGGTTTCAGGTGGGGAGAGAAAAAGCCCTAAAAATTCAAGGGTCTTTTCCTCACACCTCACTATACAAACAACTCTCACCAGCCTTTGATGGCAAGTTCCTCCTGCCAATGGTCTCTACTCCCCACATACAACAATTTATGCCGTTCATTTAACGTGCTTAGATTAAACCAGGCACTAGGCAACGTCAAAAGCATAGTTTTGAAGAGTTAAAGATATTTCCATGAACAAAGTACTTTTTAATTTTGAGAGAAAACTGTGATGCCCATCTTGGTCAGGCTGAAATATATTTTACTCTGCTATATCTAACCAAAAGAATGTGTCCCCACCACACAGGCATATGAAACTATTTCAGCCAGGAAAAAAAAATCAAATTTTAAAAATTAATTTATACTGTGAGAAATAAAGGCAGCTCATATAGTTCATTTTACATAAATATTACAACCTGGGGGAAGGTCAAAAAAGAGTATCACACTTAATCGTGTGAGCATGAGCTAGTCCATTTGAAGGAACCTACTCTTGAAAAGTTCCTCTGTGTGTGTGTGTGTGTGTGTGTGTGTGTGTTTTAGAGAAACTGAAAGAGAGAGACACCCAAGGGGTGTAAGAAGGCAGGAAAAGAAGGAAGAGTAAGTAGGTAAGTGGGCCAAAATTAGGAGGACTGGAAGTGTATCCTGTCTGAGGGATAAGGAAAGGGATTAAGTGCAATAAAAACTCATAGACCAAATTCAGACTCAATTATGCACCATGAGAATTGGTGCTGAAAGAAATCAGAACTAAACAAAATGCTTCATGATTGGCTGTTGTAATTCATTTCCTCTCTAGTCCCATCCCCCTTCCCCTTCTCATCTACTGAAACCTCTATCAAGAACAACAGAGAATTAGATTCTTCCCATGAAATAGAAGAGAATTTTAAAACTGTAATTAAAATACACAAATATGTGTTTTATATGTAAAGTGCAAATTGTCAGATATTACCATATTCAGAGAAAATTATATAGCTTTTGACATTGATAATTCCTAAGGAAATCTACTCCTCTAATGGATGAATTTTGTGAAAAATGAGAAGTAAACAGCGACCTTTATTTTTGCTAAGAAGCATGTACATGGATTCATAGCTGAGTCACGGCACAGTTATGCCATGTGTATGTATTTTAAGATTGCCTAGTGAAAATTACCTGAAAAAGTTTTTGCAATAACTTAGCTAGTTAATTTTTCAAGAAAGCAGAGTGACACTGTCATGTGAATGAATTTTATTACTTATATGAAAATTTGGCTTTGCTACAATAGTGACTATTGAGTAGAAAGCACATAAGCAAATGGTGAATGGGTGAAAACCCCACTCCAAAAACACAAATTTATGTGGCATCAATTTTAGTGAAAGCTGCTGGGGCAGGGAAGGGGTAAGAGAGACAAAGTTGTGGTATCAATCAGTGATTTTTATTCTACTCAGTATCTTATGCTCGTTATCTCCTTAGAAACAGAAATGTAGAACTAGTTAACCACTCTAACCAAATGCTCAGCAGAAAAGTTCAGGTGAGGTAGGCATATAGAATGTTTCCAAAATATAAATGCTTGTTTTCTTTAAATATATTATGTCATCCCACTCTTTTCTTTTGAAGATTAATTTCAGTTTTGGAGTTATTAATTTTTGATTCAGGTTTTAAACTTTAAAATAAAAACTTTTTTATACGTAGTGTGATTGTGAAGTCGAGGCTTTTTAAAGGTTTGGACAATTCCATAGTTTAATGACGGGAATCATATCTATGGTAAAGACATATCTCAAAACTACCACAAGGGGGCAGAAATATACATCTTCTGACCAGAAAACAATAAAAATGACTCTTATACTAAAAATTTAGATAATTAGTATATCTATGGATATTTACATATATATTTACATGTATATGAGTACATTACTATTCAATAGAATAGTTGATCTTAAGAGTATTATTGGAACATTAGTGCTGACTAAGGTTTCTCAAGTATCTCAAAAAACTCCAAGAACTTATAACTGTAAATGTTGTCTTATGTCCCACATGAGCTAGGTGAAAGCTTAACGAAGTAAAAATGTATTGTTGAGAGAAATAGAAATAAATATAGGCTGAAACAATAGGAAAATAATTTAGGTCCTTATCCCAGAGCTCCCCCTCCTTTGAAAGAATAAGACAATATTTAAGCTACTTGAAAGGTATTGATCTGATAATTACTTCCAGATTTTGATGGAGTAGAATTTTACATCCTCTAATGGGACATCAGAGCACATTATTTAGAGATTGCTACTTGTCGTTTAAAGACGCGTCCACAAGGGCATTACAAAAGAAATGGCGTTGCTTACCCCAGCTGACTGAGGGCTGCCGGCGGCATGTTATGTAGGTGTTGCTGTTGCCAGCCAGTGACTGAGCCCAGATGAAGTGCGCTGGCGGTGTTAAAGCCAGACAGAGAGGACAGGTCTGCGCTGCTCAGAGAGTACTCTAGATCAGACACAAACAACAAGGCAAGGTGTTAATCCAGAAATCATCGCACGATGAAGAGAATAAACGTCTTCAATTTAAAAAGTATTCTCTTAGGATTGTTTAATGACTGTTATAAATAATTTTACTTTAGGGGTGAGGGGGAGAAGGAGAAAAACATAGGGACAATTTTAATTTAAAAGAGATATACTATTAAGACTTGTATGCATACATGTAGGCATAACCAATGGACACAAAACGCCGGTGGAAGAGGGCATGTATGGGAATGGGTTGGAGGGGCAATGGTAAAATATGTACACATATAATACCTTAATAAAAAATAAAAATAAATAAAAAATAAGAGATATACTATATACCAGAAAATAAGCATTCAATGAAAGCTTCAAAGTAATACAACTTGCAATTCTAGTTTATTAGAACTACAATGTGCTATGTCAGCATATACATATTTGATGATTTAGACACATTTTAAAAGCAATCATGAGAAAGTGAGCTATGGCTTCGAAGAACAGCTCATTTTCCTTGAAATTGTTCTACTATATTGACATCAGTTTGGGTTAGTGACACTTTCAGTCATTTAAAAAAATTCGAATGTTTACGTTGTCTTAATAAGTCAGAGATAGTGGTTTTAGTGCTCTGAACACCACAGGTAATAAAATAAAGCCTCCTAATGAACTAAAAGGTAGTATCTTTTTCATCTTGCTTTTTAATAAAAAAGTATTTAATATACTATTTGAATGTGGCAAAGCTACTCACCGGTACCATATGTTGTTGAAATGGCTGATGGATATCCTCCCATCCCTTGTCCTGGTAAAGTAGGAGTTGCTACGGAAACCACTGGGGTAGCCAATGACTGAGCAGACTGGGAGTTATTTATCCTTTGATTCTTTTAAAGTAAATAAAAAGACATTACTGGTGGAATTTTTTAAAAAGTAACAAATATTAGATTTCAGTATTGGTTTTGCAAATAAAGATAGAATTTGGTACAAATCTCATGAAATTAATCATTTAACATGTGTCTCTATGAACTCTGCCAACCCTATCATTTACAATCCTTCAAGAGACCAGTTGTTGCCATAGAAACCCATTACATCAGTATCTCCTAGGCAACTGAACTAGTAACAAGTAGCATAGCTTTATTATGGGTAAAAACAGAGTATGTTGAAAACTGGTGAAATATGTATACTGTACTTCCATTGTTTCAGCTTTTATTCAAATGCAAATTAAAAAAAAATTAAAATCAACCAAGGTGGTTTTATCTTTAGTTCTATAGACAGTCTAGCAGACCGGTAGAGTTTCATGCTATATTCTGACCAGAAGGTGGTGCTCTGACCACTTTTTTCAGATTCTTCTAAACTTCCCTCAAACTAGATGGCAAAGCAGCCTACATGTATATTTAACTCCTTACTGCAAGGAGATTAAAGATTCACATACATTTAAACATCATGAGACTTCAATTTCTTAAGAAGTATCTTTGTGGTTTAAAATAACTAATGTCTGTGTTTGTGCGTGTGTGCGTGTTAGAATTTTGCTATAAACGAAGCCCCTAAAATAAACTGAAAACATGGCCTTCACTTGCAGAAGTTGAGAAAGAAGAATAACTTGACGTCCCTTTCCCCTGTGAGTGATACTTGAGATGAACAGTATCTAAATATAATCGCTATGCACACACTATGCTAACTTAGACAATTTCCCCATTTTACGAGAGCTACCACATCGCCTAAGAATCATCGCCTTGGATTTCTCCTTGCCCGTGCCATGTAAGGGAAACCCTCTCACCACTTACCAAAAGCAGGTCGACATCCTCAGACTGAGAGCATGGGGAAGGAGTTTTATAAATTAGTGTCTGCCAATATTTATAACTAGGCAAAATCTTTTCCATACTGGGAAAGGCATCTTCTGATAGACCCAACAGTTTGGAGAGTTCTAAAACCCAGACTCTAAAGATAACGCCTTACAAAGACATTCTTTGTTTCCCTTTAATGAGCTGTTTGTCTCAAACGTGAAGACAATCTGTCCAGTTTTCAGCATAGGTCAGTGTCTCCACCTTCATTATTTCACTATCAGATTTTGGAAAAAAATAAAAATAAAAAAAATTAAAAAGGATTGTCCTTTGAAACCCCGCTTGGTGGAGGAGGAAGACTGCACGTGGCTGCCAGGGAGAGGCCTGCCCGACCTCTCACAGGGTTCCTGGGAAAGCATCAGGTTTATGGGACTTGGACTCAATCTGCCCACGGAGACAGCCGGCTGTGCAGGCCCACACTGCTTGGCTGTGGCCCTGTGGAAGATTTTATTTATTAGACCCAGTCTTTTCCTAAGGGAACGTTGCATAGTATGTGATTTTTTTTGGTTGATATTCAAAATTAATCTGCACTGTGCCATAATAAACTAATCAGCTTGCAGGACTGTTCTACCCTGAAGCTTGCCACAGAGCGCAGAAAGAAAAAAAAAAATGTGTTTGCAGAATGATCTAAAATTGTCTACTGAATCTTGTTCTCACTTTTAAGCAAAGCTCATTTGGGAACACTGATGTAAGTCTTTTTGTTGCTGAATTTGATCTGGCCATATTACCTTCATCTTAGCTTAGCCCTGCAGACCCAGGAAAGAGAAAAACGGCAGAGTCTAGGATATTATTTACATTTCCGGTTTCTCATTCACTTCTTTATTCTTACAAGTGCCACAACTTTAAAAAAAATTATTTTGTGAAATATAACCTTTTTCAGAATGCTGAGGATTTTAAAACAATTTTCTTTTGAGGGGTAACTTTTGCATGAAGCAGAGGTATCGGAAGATGAACTGAGGCAGTGCATAGGCATATGAAACACTGAGCATTATCACTGCAATATACTCAGGAGGAGAATTGCCATTTAACAGGAGAAAGTTCATTTAAAAATTATAAAAAAAGGTTTTTCATTGCCATAACCTTGAGGACAAAAATAGTTCAACATTATAAAAATCTGTTATGAAATGCCTCATTCTGTGAGTTTGATTCTACCATTGGTCAAACCATATGTCCCAAAAGCAGAATAGGCAATTATTATTTTTTTTCTAATTATAAACTGAAGGCTTTAAAAGGCAGTGTTTTCTTTGCCCCAGAACACCACTCCTATAGTGAAGTTCACTAGGATGTTGGTTCTTTATTTTTTTTTTATGTGGAAAAGGGAATGAGAACCAGTTACCAGAAATAATAGCTAAATACAAAAAAGGACTCCAGCAATAGCACTAATGTATTCATTTTATGAAAGCACTTAAGTAATTCATAAAGTTAGACAAATGTAAAAATAGCAACGCATAGGCAAAACATTATTGATATTTATTTAAAATATAGTTTTTCATTACCACGGATGGCATCGTATTCTTGCTGCCTGGTGGAATAAGAACTCGGAGATCTGGTTTACGGTTATTCATCCCTAAATTCATGGGGGGAGGAGACTTGGCTTGCATATTCTTGTTCAAGTTCCCAGGTGAGACCAGCAGACCTGGTGAGTTTCGGGGGTTGCCATACCCATTCCCTGTTAACACAAAACAAGGAAACTGCTCAGGGAGAAATATAGACTATAGAGAATATATTAGGCGAGATTAAGAATAAAAGGGTAAAAGACTAAGACATACAGTCACATACACTGGAAATTTACAATTGGATGACTGACTTAACCTCCATATGGAGAGTAACCCAATCAGCTATTTACTATTCCTTTGAAGGAAGAGTATAAACTTTTAATGAGAAGAGAGCTAATATACATACAGCTGAAAAATCAATATATACGTGTGCTTTTTTTCTAGTAAAAAAAAAAATTCTGGAATAAAGTCAGACAGTCATGCAAGGTCTAAGAAGAGCCCAGAATTTTGGTCCTTAACTTTAATTAACTGGCTGGGCAAAGGTCTGGCTGGAGTGACTCACTCTTTCAGTTCAATGGTTTGGGTTTTATTTTGTGTGTCTGTGTGTCCTTAAACGAAGAAAGGGCATACAGCAAGACTATAATTTCTAGGACATGCCAAAGGCGCCGCCTCTCACACAGCTTGCTGTTCAGTTCCCCTTTTCTTTGAATAATTTCTCCCTTTGGTTTTCTTCTGTCTCTTCTGCAGTGTACGACCCCGGAGGCTGTCTCTCCTGCTCACATAGAACTTCCAAAACCAGGACTCTTCTCAGGAACTAAAATGAAGGGACGATGTCTCCACTAAAACACTGATTCACCAAAGCATAGGGACAGCCATCTAATGCAAACACCAAAAGGTCTGATGGTTAACCTCTACTAATAGAACATGGATATCTTCAGGAATCCATTTCTCATAATTCAAATATCGGGTCTGTGACAGGAAGAACTGGGGAGGGAGTCGGCACCACCTGAGCAGAGGCAGAAAGTCATCTGCTGGCTTCCTCCACCACCTCTGGTCAGAGAAGAACAGAATCAACGACTTGATGAACAATCCTCTCTGGAAACCAGACTACTGTTTGCTGCAGCTCTCTAAAGGAGACAGTCAACCTCTTTGTTATTGTCACCATTGTCATTCCAGCAAAACACAAATATCTATGACCCCAGGGCAAATGACAGACACTGTGTCTACCCAATGGGGAAGCAATGACCAGGCTTCAGTCCTCAAAGGCCCTGCTGTTTCTCTGTGTTAATTTAGCACATGCACGTGCAAAACTTATAAACAGCCTGGGGTGAGGTGCCCACAGAGCAATCCAGGTTAAGTGTTACTGAGGGAAGAGATTAACCAATAAAGTTTCATGTAAGAGGCAGGAATTGATGTGGGTCTTGAGTAAAGAGACGAGATAGTAAAATACGCTGGGCTTGTGATTGGGCCCTGGGCAAGGGCCATGGTGGGACTTTCCAGAGCAGCCAGGGTCACACCTGGTTAGAAGGGAAACCATGAAAGCAGAGGAATGTTGGGGTCTCTGGAGGGACTTGAAGGTTGGACTGTGGAGACCTTGAATCCCAAGCTAACAGGTCTTGGGTTTAGATGGTGGAAATGCAGATCTATGAAGGTTGTGGAGCAGAGGGAACTCAGACCTCTCAGTGGACAGAAAGATGTCCTGGCATTTGGATAGCCTGTGATCAGGAAGGCCTGGAAATGTGAACCAGTCTGGAAACTACTGTGATAGTCTGAGCTGGAAGTGACCAAGAACTGGGAAGGCAAAGCACAGGTACATTTCAGGAGGCATTTATGGGAACGTATTGTGAATTAGATTCTATTGGAGGCACACTGTGTAGAGCACAATTGTTCTTCATATCCATTCAGTTACCTGTCTCATTTTATGCATGAACAAACAGGCTGAATATATAACAAATAGCTACAAGATTAAATCTGTCAATTGGATTACGCATAAAATCCTCCCTGAAGAAAAAGAAAACCCAAAACAAACAAAATACCCTTTAAACTTGCTCTGAGTTACACAGTAGTTGTTTAAAAAATATTGGTTGAATTTGAATGTAAATTACTCTTCTATAATAAACTTCAAGAAATTTAGCTAAATTTCCTAAAGCCTGCTAAATATGTCCCAAGCCAAAATTTTCTTTTACAGTGAATTTGGACAGCTTTCCGTGGCAAAACTTGTTATATGAAACAAATACATTTACCTTTCATCACCAGGAGAATTACAAAAAGTCTGTTCGTGGAGAAATGCTTGATAAAATGGAATGCTCAGAGGAATTTTATATTTAACATGTTTTACTGAATCGTTATTGGGAACATGTTAGGACTTTCATTTTAATTAATAGATTCTATTGGGTAAAAAGAGAATGAGAAAACCAAGACAAAATCTACACTGCTTTCCTGTCAGCTGAAGTCCACACTGAGATACCAAATACATAAGCCACTTATCTATTAAGTCTATGTGAGACCTGGTTTAAACAAACAATCAAATGGAAAGTTAGCTGGGTAATTTCAAAAGAAGGGGGGTGAGGGGAGTCAGTTAAGCAGTGCAGTGAAGCTTGACTAGATCAGAAGAAACTAAAACCCCGGCTTGGTAGACAACGATACTGGTTTGCATGGAGGAGTTATTTTGCTAAAAGGAAGTAAAACCACTTCATGAAATGTGTTGTCCTGTGATATGATGAGCACTGGGCCTGTATTTGAAAATGGAAATGCTTCACGGAGCCTCTGAGAAAAGGTTGTGTTTTCTTTTTTTTAAACAAACATTTTCTACAGTAAACGCTGAGAAATTCCAACAAAGCCTACATCTTTTTGCTCACATTTTAAACAAAATGTGGGCCAGCAGTAGGGAAAAAAAACAACACCCTAACTAAACATACATTTTAGTTTTTTTAATCCAATAAATGCCTCAGATCTTAAAAAAAAAATGTGAAAAGCATTCTATTTTCCTCTTAGAATATTTCCTGTTATTTAGAAATTATACCATTTCAGAAGATTACTCTTATTTTAAGGTGTTCGCATATTGAATGTAAAATATCTTGAACCGCGATGACACTTCTTAAATTCATATTTTTAGAGCATAAAGTTATTTTTAAGAACAAATAAATTTGGCTTTTGCCTGGCGAATTTCTACTCTTTTTAGCATATTGTGCCAGCCAGCATTTTGGAGCCGTATAATAACCATTTCTGTTTCCAGCCACCAAGTTGTTATTCTGGCATAATATAGATTCAGGAATGCAAGACTGTGGATCCTAAACCAGTGATATAGAAACCTATCATTTCAAAATCAATGATGAATACATGCGTGCGGTTTGCTGCTAAGAGGAGCCTGCATTTAAGCCAGCTCGGAAACCGCGGCCTCCTCCTCACTCAGAGGGCTGTGGCCCGAGTTGAGGCTCTGCTGTCCTGCCATGAGGGACATTCACTAACGAGAACGGGCTAGTTCAAAGTTAGGGGTCAGGGAGGTGGGGATCACCACCTCCCAATAACCTCCTAATATGCAGATGCAACCTTCCTTCACGCTACGTTTTAAAATGACCCTCTGCCTGAACAATTATCAATTTAGATGTGACTGTAGGCAGATGTCACATTCCCTGAGCCACTTAAAAGCACAAAAATTATAAAGCATGAGCGACTGGATTTCCTGATTATAGATTATAAGAAAATGAAGAACAGGCCAACTTTGGAGTAAGTTTGTTTTATAGTTCATTTGATTAAAAATATTGTTCCACATAACATAAAACAATTTAAGCATTCACAATGTAATTTGCATGAAGGATAAAAGAACCTATCTCGATTGCTTACAAGTTTCTAAACACTCACATTAAAACTAGCATAAATATACAGAACTTGAAATGTGGTGTGAGGAGAAAAAATTTTTTTCTCTCTCTCTGGTTAACTTGAAAACACTTGCTGCCTTTTTTTTATTTTTTTTTTTTATTGACTCCTATTTTAAGAAGTTGTAAATTCAAAGAACATATTCCTGGCATAAGCTGTCCTGAGGAGGACATTCTGCTTGTCTCACAGAGCTCAATTGAGCATGTAGCTCTCTTTGAGCCCAAAGTTCTGAAATTTTCTCTTATTTGGATATGTAGACATTATGAGTCTTTTTACTTTTTTTTTTTTTTTTTCTTTTTCTTTTTCTTTTCTGGAACTTTTAGTTACAAAGCTTATAAAATGAATCCACACAAAACAGAAACTAGTCCTTATGGATCCTGTCTAATATTTTTCATTGGCACAATCATTTTTTCAGTCTCCCAAACTGTCATTTTGACTATTCCTTCTCCCTCTTCCAACCCATCAGATACCAAATCTTGTTAGTTTTCCTTCAAAAATGCCTTTCTCCTGGTGTAGGCTTTTAACGCCATTTGACTAGGTCTTTCAATAACCCCATGTAAGCTTATGTGCATATGTGTGATGATATTAAATCTAATGCTCAGTCCCAGCTCACCCAGAGAAGGCTTTGTAAAGTGCTGCTTCCATCACGTTCCTTGTTCAGATCACACGTAACACTGCTGGACCGTGCCCTGGGCCTGACCCACTCTATCTATGTAACCTAATTTCCGGTGGCCACGGCCAAGCACAAGGCCTCTGAAAATGTCTCAGTGTTTGTTCCTGCAGTCTCATAACCTGTGTCTGCTCTTCTGTTTGATGCAAATTCATTTTTTTAAAGGATCAACTGATGTCCCACCTCTTTCATGATGCCTTTCAGACAATTTCAGTCCACCTTGGACTCTCTCCCCTCCAAAACCTCGCTGCAGAGGCAGCAGTACCATGCAGAATATTAGCTCTTTAAGTGTTTCAAGTGCTCACAAATGATACACAGCATATGCTGAAAAGTTAGAAATTATCCAGGAATGGCACAAAAAGTTAAGTTACTGAAGGAATGTGAGAAGGCAACGGAAAATGTAGAGTAGCTTGCTGATTTCAAACACGGAGAGACTCTTTATGCTACTTGAGCAAATTTTCTTCTAAATGATAACATACCGATGACCAAGTATACCAATGAGACAAATTACTTAGCCACCATATAATATGAAAAAGTCGGGACATTACCCGGTCCTCTCCACCCCCCCCCCCCCACCACTTTCCTGGCCAGACTTGGCTAACAGGAGCCTCTCAGATCATGATAACT